CTTTGTTTATTGCTGGCCGTCGGAAGAGAAGGTAAACTCCCAAGAGGGGGAGGGGAGGGGAGGAAGCTGGTCTCTCCTGTTCCCCCCCAAACCTCTGCCTAGAGCAGAGCCTGGTGCACGACCGACCGGATGCTCACCTATCAGCAGGGAGGAAGGAGGGGAGGGAGGACTTACTCAGCAGAAGCTTCTCTGCTGAAGGAGATCGAGGCTTAGAGCCACACATAGTGCAGGTCTAAAATAGTGCACGTGTTTTTGGAGATTCAAAAAATATTTTCCATTACAGTTGACACACAGTATTACATTAGCTTTCAGCGTACAAGGTAGTGATCAGTCACATAACTTCCGAAGCGGTCACCCCAGTGAGTCTAGTGCCCACCTGTCCCCACACAACATTGTTCAGTGTGTTCCCTCTGCTGTACTTTACATCCGTGTGACTGCTCCAGAGACTTTCCTGCAGATGCACCAGGTGTCTACACCGCATGACGTGGTTGTTCTGGAGATTTTTGAAGAGTAGATACTGGCCTTTCAATTTCATTTTTAGAGTCTGTTGAACAGGGCCGTATCTGATTTTTACTTAGAACAACTAAGAACCTTTCAGTACTGTGCAAGGTGGAAAGCTCACGGCCAGTGACTTCACTGCACAAGGAAATCCATCATCCTGTGGGACTCGTGGGGCTGTGTCACCTGCTGCTGGTCGGGCCAGTGAACGGGGCCGTTCATAGTGGTCACTAAATGCTGTCCAGTGACAGCAGTGAGCAGGAAGGATGAGGTACCAGCCCTCCTGATGCTCGCATTCTGGAGAGGGACAAAATAAACAAGAAAACAAGCAAGTTTAGATGGTGATAGTGTCCGTAGAGGAAGAGAGCATCAGACAAGTAAATGATTCCAGTAACCTGGGTGTTGGGCATGCCGGGCACTGTGGAGAGTGCAGCAGTGGAGGCAGTGCACGCCGGGTGGTCTCGGTGAACTGAGAGGGGTCCATCCCGCACCTGCCCCTCCGTGCTGCTCATCCTCCCACTCCAAGGCCTGCAGCAGCCACCCACCGGGCGTGCATAAGCACAGCTGCCCCCACCCCACACTTTTGTGGGGCTGTGCCTGTTGTCACTGCTGGGCTACCGGGAAGTGTTATGAGCACTTCAAGTCACCTCTCCCTGGCTGCCAAATCTTCCCTCCTCCTGCCACCCCCACTCCCCAGTCGGCTGATTGATCTCTGGGAATGGTATCAATAGCTAGGTCAGAAACCTCAACATCACCCCTCCTTGCCCCTCACTGGCTACATCCAGTCAGCACCAAGGCTGGGGGACGTGGCCCCCACAGTTTATCTGACACCCCCACTGCCATGTCTGTGTTTCAGACCATCCATGTGTCTCTTACTGCCCCCCAGGCCCCCGCAACATGACTTTCATCTTTGGTGACCAACCCCCATCCTGAGATTGCACTGTAACCACATTGGCACCTCCAAAACACCAATCTAGTCCGATATGCTCCACCCCTGCCCCAAGATAAATTTCTCAGCACGGCCCTCCTGATGGGATCCCTGCCTGCCTCCCAAAGGGATCGCCCATCACTTCCCCGCACCTTCCACCTGCAGCTGCTGCCCCCAGCTCCAGCATCCAGACGCACCGCCCGCCCTCTCCCCTTTGCCCTGGCCTCTGTCTGCCACACCCTCCAGCCCTTGCCTGGCTTAGTCATCACTTCCTTGAGCAGCATCTCCCCCCCCCCACCCCCAGTTTCCCACAAGACCCACAGTTTCCCCACCACAGGCCTGTGCTACATTTGTTTTAGACGTGGAGCTTCTGGGGGATAAGAACTGGATGGTTCGCTATTTTGTCCGAGGGCAAGATCCACCCCGAACCCCAGGTGCCGTCCTCCCTAAAAGTGGGTCCGACAATAATAGCTGTACAACCGACGTGTTGTTCGGACTGATGACACAACACGTGGCACTGCCCACCCCAGTGGGCGCCCAGGTCGTCCATGCACAGAGAGAGGGTGGACTGTAGCTGTTACTGTTGTGAAGTTAGCGTGAACTGGAAACAAACATGGTACTGAAGTTCAAAATACACGTAAAAAATGCACAGTCATAGTGTACACAGTCGATGAGTTTTCACAACTGGACACTCCCTTGTCACCAGTCCCTCGATCTGGCACCAATTTAAAGTCCAAACGTGACCTTCGCAGAGAGGTCCTCCCCCCTTGTCCCACCGCCTGCGTGAGGCTCATCACCTGTATGATCCAATGATGCACTTGATAAGTTATCTGTCTCCCTTCGCTCCAATGTAAGCTCCAGGGAGACAGAAGTTTTTTGTTTTGTTTTTCATTTTTGTTTTAGTCTCTTCTGTGCACCACTGTATCCCCAGCTCCTAGAATAGCGCTGGGCACATAGTAGGTGTGCAAGATAAATTTGCTAAGGAATGAATGAATGAGTGCTCATTTTTCACTTCTTGATGCCCCCAGGTGCTGCGGCACAGCGGCGGCTAGAACCGGTGCCCTCCCAGATCAGAGGGCGCAGGGCGGGACCGGCTGCGCCCAGACGAGCCTCGTCCCGAGTGTGCAGGGCACGCGCCCCGCCCTGCGCGGCCCCCTTTCTCCCCATTCCTCTCCCTGGACAGTGCCGGGACCCCTCAAAGACTCTTCCCGGGACAAACGCCCTCAGGGTGGTGGCAGCTCTCAAGGCGGAGGACCCGTCCCCAGCTGCCACCGGAATGCACCGGGTGAAGCCCCGGCTTCTCTGCCACCCCCGGACCGGCCCCTGCGGCCGGCGCAGGAGGCTTTTCATTCGCCCAGCTTCGCGGAAAGAGAAATCGAGGCTGCGAGCAGGAGACTCGGCCGCTCACATCTTCTGGCTCCAAACTTTGCGGTCCGTGCCGGCAGGCGCGGCACCGACACCGGCGCCTTCGGTTGCCTGAGGTCTCCGTGGACCCCTCCTCTTCACCAGCCGCCGCAGCCAGACCACAAGGAGCCTGGCCCTGCAGAACCAAACGGGGAAGAGCCAGGCAGCGGCCGAAGCCAGGGGAGACCCTCGCACGCGCGCGCGGCCAGGCGCAGACACGCGGAGGAGGCGACGCTAGCGGGACGCGGGGGTGGGAAGCCGCCGGCGGCGCGGGGAGGTGCCGCGAGGGGTGGACGGTGGAGAGAGGCGCACGCGGAGGAACCGCACACGCTCGGCTCCTCGGACATCCACCGCCTGCTGGATCTCCCCCCGGACTTTGCGAAGGGGCCTCTTTGCCAAATCTGCCATTTTGCAGACGAGGAAGCTGGGGCCCGGGGAAGTGCGGAATCTGGCTGGATCCGAACCCAGCGCCCCGAAACCCGCCCTGGCCGGGGCTCTGTCCAGCCCGCTGGCCCCGGCGCCGCCTCCCTCCCTCCCGCGCCGCGACCTGGCCCGGCACGTGCTGGCCCCCGGCCACAGCCCCCGCCCCGCACCCCGCACACACGCACGCTGTCCCTCCGGGCCCCGGTCGGGACGGCGACGGGGCTTCGCCAGCGGCCGCAGGAGGCCGCCCCCCCGCTCGAGGTCCGGGTTAGAGACCCCCCTGGCCCGGCGGTAGGGACCCGCCGCCCGCCCCGCCCCGCCCCTTCCGCGCCGGCGCTGCCTCTGTCCATGGTCGGGCACCGGGTAATCCGCCTTTCTCTTCCGCCGCCGGGCCCCATTCATATTCTAATCACAGCGCGGCCGGCCCGCGAGCGGCCGCTTTCTGGGGGCCCGCGGAGGCGCTGCCTGCCCCCCGCCCCGCTTCCACTTCCAGCCCCCGGGCCTCGCCCCCTCTTTTCTGCACTGTAGACTCGGCCGAGGAGGGGGTCCCTGGGAAAAGCGCGTCCCCGCTTGGACGCCGGGGCTTCCCACAAACTTCTCGGTGGCGGGTGGGGGGAGGAGGGCGGGAAGCGGGAGGGAGGGAGGGAGAGAGGGAGGGAGGGACTGAGACACAGACGGACTGACAGACAGAGTTACGGGAAGAGGCGGGGAGGAGGGGTGTCGGAGTGACCCAGGGGACAGAGACAGAGAGGGCCGGAGTCCCAGGGGGAGACAAAGAGGCGCGGGGGCAGGGGCTGGACAGGAAGGCAGGCTGATCCGGAGCGGGAGAGGGGCGCAGGGGGCGGGAGGGGGACGGAGGGGAGAAGACAGACCTGGAGGAAGGCAGAGAAAGTTCTGGAGGAGACGGGTCGGCCCCTCACACCCTCCCTGCCAGGCGGCCTTCTCCTAGCCCAGGTTGGGCGGTGGGGTCTCAGGGCTGCCGTTCCCCTTCCTCTGCACCCCCTCAGCTGGCTCTACTCCACGCGTGTCCGCGGATCCGCGTGGAATGGTTCAAGTCATACCTTCTCCTGCATTCCCAGGGCCCCCATTTGAATCCAGCTCCGGACCAAACTGGGCGGGGGGCGCACAGGAGGAGAGGGAAGGGAGTGGGGCCCACTCGTGGCCGCACAGACGACTCCCCAGGCTCCCGGAGTCCCCTGCCGCCACCCCCACCTCGTGCCTGAGCCTCGCCCGGCCCGGGGAGGGGAGGGCCCGGAGGGGAGGGGAGGGGAGAGGGGCCACATCTAAGCCAATTTTGATTCCGCCCGTAATGAGCGCCGGGCGCAGGCTGCAGAAGGCCTCTGGAACTTTAAATAAGAAAAACGTTGCTAATGCTATAATAGAAGGGGGAAGTCGGAGGGCTGGGATTGCGTCGCTCCGAGCCCCCCTTCTCGGAGGCGGCTTTTCTTATTCAAAACAGGCCCACAATGGGCTTCACAGTGCGCCTCGCCACGGCCCCATCTGACGAGCGGCCATTCATCAGGCCGGCTGGCCTATCAATGACATTGCTCCCATCGGGGCTCCTATAAAATGATGCTTTTTCCCATGAAACATCCGCAAACATTTTGACGGGTTTGGCTTTGCCCGGCTGGATTACTGAGTGTCCCCTCGCCTGCTCGCCTGCTCGCTCGCTCTCTCCCCCTTCGCCCAGCTCTTTCGCCTCTCTCTCTCTCTCTCTCTTTTTCTTTCTTTCTCTTTCTTTCTTTCCCTTTCCTCCTGTATCCTCTGCCCTTGCACTCTTCTGCGTCTCTCGTTCCCTGTCCCTTCCTCCTCACTCCCTTCCTCCCTGGGCGGCTCTAGCACAGGGGATCCCCAAACATCAGGACTTTTGGGGGGCGCCTGTGCTGTCCATGGGAAGAGCATGCATTGTGGGTTACTGGAGGAACCCGACATGGATTCCACAGGTTAGTCCTACTGGCGGAGGTTGGAGGGGGGCGGGGGGCACTGGGAGGGAGGGAAAGGGGAGAGGGGGAACTTCGGAAAGAGTTGCAAAAAGTTGAGAAAGGTCAACTTGACAGTGAAGCCCCAGGGAAGAATGGAAGGTGTGCACAAGTTTTCGGCCCCGAGTGATGTGCAGTGTGTGCAAGTGGATGCGTAGAAGTGTGTGCAAATGTGTGTGTGTGTGTGTGTGTGTGTGTGTGCACGCGCGCGCGCTGAGGCGCGCGCTTTCGCTGGTCCTGGACAGAAAGTTACGTAAAGATTCGCTGGCTCGCGGCGAGCTCGAGGTGCCACTTGCAGAAACTTTGCGAGCCGACCGCCCCTGTTGGGCGTGCGGTTCCTCCCCCAGGTGGGGGCCCCTGTAGCGCGGTGCGCTCTGGGGCTGGCGGCAAGGGCCGGGAAGCGGAGCGGAACGCCCAGAGGCGGAGTAGGGCTACGACTTCGCGTCGCGCCTGGGTGGTGGGGACGGAGGCTCAGGCTGGTGTAGACCTGCTGCTGGAGGGAGTGGCGATGGCGAACCCGGTGGTCCTGGGGAATCCGTGCCGGGTCGGGAGGTGGGAGACCCAGGCTGTCCGAGGCCGGGTGTAGCCTCCCTGCGGGGAGGGGCACCCAACCACGGGCTCCGCTCCCCGGTTGTGACTCTGCTGGAGGGAGGGCAGGACACAGCGTAGCCAGCGAGGCCTGGCGACAGGGTCTGCAAATTGCTCGGCACTTTGGCAGCTGTTGGCTGTGGGCAGTTAGTTTTGGGGTCGCCGCGATCTGTAAAAACTGAGGAAGGAAGCCAAGGAATCTCTTAACAACGAAAAAGGCCGGCGCCTCCGTTCTTTCTCCAGTAGCGCCGTCGCCACTTCCCATTTCTAGCACCTTTGAAGAGCCGCCAAACTTCTAGATCGGAGTTATGCTCCCCACGTCCCTTCCAGGTGGAAGAAGTTTACCTCCTTCTCCAGCCGCGTTCTCCCAAGCAGTCTGCTCTTAGTAGGGCTCCGCAGCAGCCTCCCGGTTTCTTGAGGAGACGCGGTTGGGGATCGGGCAGAAACAGGGCGGTGAGCGCAGCAGCCCGGGCCGAGGTAGTAGCTTTAACACCGGGCTTGCTTGGAGAAGGCGCGGAGCAACAAGTGTCTTTCAGCCTCTGCTACCCCCTCACACACGCGCGACCCTTTCCTGAGCGGACACCGACACCGCGCGGATGTTTCCCCACCTCCACCCCAGAGCAGCTGGGAATAGATGCGGGGAGGTGGCGTGGGGCACCCGGGCATCAACCCAGGCAGCTTCCCGGTGGTCCCTGCAGACAGATTTCCAGCCCCCCCCACCCCACCCCCAGGCTTCTGCCTACGCCCCCGGCGCCCGGGAAATCACCCCCTTTGGCCAGGGGCATCTTCAGTTTTCCCCGGTAGGTGTCTGTCGCTGATCCCAACAGCGAAGTTCCCCTTCCACTGCGCTCCGCCAAGTGTGTGCGGGCCCCGAGGGACTGGGGACCGGCTGAGCTTCGCAGTCCGCCTTACTATAGACGTCTCCTTCGCGCGCGGGCTCGGGTACCGGGTGGGCCCTCCTAGGGTGCTCACAGTGGAAGGTAAAGAAGGCACCCAGAGCGGGGAAAGAGCCCCTCCCTGCACTTTTTCATGCCAAGTGCTTTCTGCACTGCGCACCGCCTGAGCACCCCAACTTTAGAGGCGAAGATCCTTGAACAAAATTAAACCCAAGACTGCATTGTTTGCGGCCAAGTATTTGCAAGGGGCCCACACAGGGACCTGGGGTCTCCCCGCACTGCACACTGACCCCAGCCCACCTGGGGACTTAGGTGCCCCTTCCACCCGACTGGAGCGTTTCCGTGCGTTCTCGGGGCTGCAGAGACGCTCTGATTCGTCTTCCACGCAGCTGAGGGTCCTGAGGGCACCGGGTCACTGCGACTTCAACTGCAAACACCCCAAACAGGGAAACGGAAACCTTATCTCCTACCACTCCCCTCTCTCTTTCACACAAGTGAAACATCTAGATAGCCACCCCGAACCTCAAAACCAAAAGTTTTAGTGAACGGTAACGTGAAGAAATGACACGAGGCGCGCCAGGAGACAATTCCCCTCGGGCTCCGAACCCGACGACCAGGGAAGTGCGGCCGGGCGCGGCCAGGTCCGCCAGCCTCCCTCACCTCCCTTCCAGCGAACTTAATCCAATTAGCTTTCCTGGTGAGTTTCCCTTGTTATGTAAAGGTCCTTACTCCCCACGGCTGGCCGAGGCTGGCCCTCCCTGGAGCAGGTCGATCGCGCGCGACCGGAACCACGAATATCATTAGCATTTCATTCCGAGAGGGCTCGAACAACCGTTTCGCAGCAAGTGCTGGGGCGAAGTCGGGAGCGTCCAGGATCAGAGAGGCCGGCGAGCCGGGCCTCTCCGTCCCTTACTCTTAAAAGGAAAATCCCCGCAAAGTGCCCCGGGCTAGGGAGAACGGCGTTGCAGAGGCCGGGCTCCAGCGGTCTGTCTGCCTTGGGGCCACTTCAGCGTGACCTGAGGAAACGCGCCCCTTTGTTCTGCGTCCCGAGCCGGTAATATATTCCTCGAGTTTTCCCAAAATACTCAACAAGTGTGGGGCTAAGACAATGGCCCCGTCGGGGGAGGCCCGGGAGCCGGCGCGCGCCTTGGGCCTTCAGCTCGCTGGCCCCAGAGTGCGACAAAGCAGAGCCCCTCTCCCCGGAGGCTGGCCGCGGGGCCGAGCCCGGGCAGGCGGCGCGGGCTGCAGGCGCGTGCGTGGGCCGTCAAAGCGCCGCCGGCCCGTTAGCCGTTTGCACCTAGGGCGGACGCACGTTTCCCCGGCCCGCGCCGCGCAAAAGCGAGGACGCAGTCCCGCGTGGCTCACCCCACTCACGCGGGCCGTCCGCGGTGCCTACGTGTTTCTGACCTGTGGGTCCAATCCGGGCTGCCCTGCCCAAGCGAGCGTTGCTCAGTTACTGAAGGTACCAGAAAATTCGAGAACGAAGGGGGAAAAGTAGGCAGAATTTTAAGCCACGCAGAACTTGTGCGCATTGGGCCGAGGCCAGGTCGGGTCGCCTACGCAGGAGAAGAGTCGTTTTCTCCTTAAACGGGATGGCGCGTTAGAGAGGGGCCCTGCTGAGCCTGAGCTGGAATCTCCTGCCTCTACCCGCTTTCTGGTCCCAGCTCTGGAACCCAGAGCCCGGGCGGCTGGGGTACCACTGGGGCCGGATTGGAGCCCCCGGGGCCGCCGCGGCGGGAAGGCACGCGGGTTCACAGGTGCCGGCTCAGCACCAGGCCCGACCTGGCTCCGCGGGCCCCGAAGTGAGGACGTCCATTCGGAGGCCTGGGAGCAAGGCCCACCGGGCAGTGAGAGCCCGGTGGGAACCGAGCCCGGGCCTCCTCCACTCTCTCCCAGTCTCGGCCTCGGGCAAGGAGCCCTCTTCCCCGTCCCGGGGACCAGGCCTGCATTCTCAGGGATCCATAGGCCGGGGTCTGAGCTTTGCTCCCGCGCGCAGTTTAGACTCTCTCCCCCCACGTGTGTGCAGGTGGCCAGCGAGGGGGAAATGCGCGCCCCCACCCCCGCCGCCAGCCAAGTGCCGGCGTCTGGCTGTAGGGTCTCAAGTGAGAGTCGCTTGGTCCCGCGGTCCCCAGGCCCCGTGGCTCCGGCCTTCGCCAGCGCTGACACAGCACGCAGGCTGGGCCGGGGAGCCTTGCACCCGAGTCCGCGCGGCTGCTCTTTCCCACCGGGTCTGCGGGACCCGGGGACCCGGAAAAGTTTGCAGGAGCTGCCCAGCGGCTAGTCCCTGGGATTTCCGTAGCCGCGTCCGTCCCCTCCCCAGTGCGTCGCCATGGAGACCGTTGGAAGTTGGTGGCGGAAAACAGACCCGGCGCAAAGCAAAATATTATGAGTGCAGTTGGGGTGACTTCAGGGGGGGGCGGGGGACCCGAGGGCATGAGCGGGAGCCAGAGGCGGACAACAAAGGGCCGAGTGCGAGGAGGAGAGAGGAGTTTGCAGGGGCAGCCCCGCGGCCCTGTGGGAGCCGGGCCGTCCAGCTTCCCCGAGGCGCCGAGGTCTCTCATGTCCTGCAGACACACACCTTTCCTCAACCCCAGGCGCGCCCGCCCTTCCACCCCTTTTCTCTGGGTTCTCTCTCTCCCAGCCTCCCTCCTCCTGTCCACTTTAGGCCCGCTGGGCAGCGCGCCCGCCTCTTCCCACGAAACTCGGGCTCCCCAACGTGAAAGGGTCTGGCTTTTCTTCCCCACCACCCGTGGATCACTCAGCATAAGTTTCTCTCCCCGCTGGTCCAACGGGATCTGAAAGCGCGAGGAGATACGATGAGGCAGGAACCTCTCGGAGGGGCTGGTGGACAGGGGAGCCTGCCTGTCTGACTTTTTTGTCGCCTCTGTACAGCGGGGGAAACGGAGTTATAATTCCGACCCAGCCACTGGTAATGTTCCTTCAGGCAAATCTAGCCTTTCCAAGATTGATTTTCCGTGTGAAGTTCCTGTAAAATGAAGGGAGAGACAGCGCAGAGTCTGGGATTCTCTGACAAGTTAAACATCGCTCTTTACTGTCTATGCATGTGTGAGTTGGTCACCGCTGTCCGAATTGTGGGCCTCTGCACAACTAGCGAACCGCTCCCCAAACTAATGACAAGCTAAACTCTTTTAAAAAGCCATTTAGGTCCCTTATGATATTAAGAATCAAGAACTTTTGATAGCCGTTTCAAGAGGCCTATGATTTTTCCTTTCTCAAGGACACCTGAGGAACATCCCTTAAGTCTTTGGCCAACTCCTTGCATCCCAAAGGGAGTTAGTTACTAGAAGACACTAGGTTTTATGGGGCTGTTTCCGGCGTTGATCTAGGGAACACAGACATGCCGGTGGATGGCGAAGCCAGCGTCACAGACATGCACACGTGTGGGAGAGGAGTAAACCCTGGCCAAGGTGGTGAACTGTTGCCATCGAAGGAAAACCACACTCTAGTCCCCCTTGCTCA